CACAGCAATTTCCAAACACTGATTTGTTACATCTTTAAAAATGGAGAAACAATATAATTGTAGTTAGACATTAACCATATACTGTAAATTACCAATTCCATGACAGAAACAAGCCGGGATCATAGTAAATGTTGTGAGACAAATGAAGTATGTCTAGTTAGCTTCTGTAATTAGATTTCATATAGTAACATTCTATAGCTACAAATAATTGAATTTGTCAAAATCTTATGACATGAAGCAGTGTTATTGACCATTAGAAATCCTTGCGGAGGTGAAGAACGCTGAGGTTTTTTAGTCTAGTCTTTGTTATTTGTTTACTTGATTGTATTTGATGTCAGTATCATACCTTTAGTATAATACTAGAAATCATGGTCTAAATTTTTTCACTGTATAGATCAACAGCTGTTTCAGAGTTGTTTCTTTAGTTCTAGGGATGTTATTGAGTGGAAAAATAATACATTAACTTAATATATTCTGTAAAATGTTTCACAGAACAATGATGAACCTTATCCAACCAAAAGATGTAAAACACAAGGGAAAAGTATTTTTGGTAAGAACTGCTATATGAATTTTTTGTAAATGTCTTTGAACTGAAAGGGTGTCTTATGTATTAAAATATGGTCATCTTGGTATTCTTTGGGCTAGCAGGGAAACCCTTGCCAAAGTGGGATATCCATTTTGCTGTGTTGGATATATAATTCCCAGCAATGTCCTGTCAGAATGGGGATGTGAAATCCAATGCCTTGTGTAGAGAGAGGGCCATGCTCAGTGCATGTTAAGAACCCTTGCAACAACTTGTTGAGGTATCCTGTTTCATGGTTAAATTTCTGTCCTTTTTCAATAAACCTGCATTTTTAGTGGCATCCAAATGTCCTGCTCCTCATCTAGGTGGACCCCTACCTATTGTATTTATTGTTGATTTGTTCTCGTCCTAAACATGCAAGAACTATTTGCCACTGGACGTAAAGCAAACACCAATCAATCAATCTTTCATCATTGAGTAATCAAAGTACATGCAGATGTTGACAGCTGATAAAATAGAACTTCATCCTGAAGATAAAAGCATTTTATAACATGACATAGTACATCAGAGAGTGCTATCATTGATAAGAGTGATGATATTAATGTTAAAGTGTTTGTACAGCTCAAAAGTCAAAGATATGAACTGTAAAGTGTATTTTTCTTAGAGTATAAATTCACAAATCCTGGTCAGGAGGTTTATTTACAGATTTTTTTTCTGATCTCTGATTCAGTCTAAATAAATCTTCTTGAAAGATCAAGTTCAATATAGATTATATTTTCAGGATTTTATCATAATTGTGAAAATATGGCCATTGAAACCCATCAAGAAAAATTCTACAGTATGTATGACTCAAGTTGAGTTAGTGACATTGATCTGTTTTCTAGTTAAGTCAGTGTGAAGTGTGTTCTTGTTGAGTCTGAAAGTATGCTCCAAATTTAACCAGCGACTTATGTACTCTTGAAGTTTAGTTAATGATAGATATAGGTACTGCATAAGCTTAGGAAATACTTAATATTGATATAAGAAGATGTGGTATGAGTGCCAATGAGACAACTCTCCATCCAAGTCAAAATCTATAAAAGTAAACCATTATAGGTCAAAGTACGGTCTTCAACACGGAGCCTTGGCCCACACCGAAGAGCAAGCTATAAAGAGCCCCAAAAATTATTAGTGTAAAACCATTCAAACAGGAACATATTGGTACAGATCAAGTAGTCTATGACATGTAGGTACTGATCAAGTAGTTTATATGACATATAGGTACTGATCAAGTATAATATATGACATATATGCACTGATCAAGTAGTGTATATCATTATATGACATGAAGGTACGTATACTGATCATGTAGAGTCAATAACATGTAGGTACTGATCAAGTAGTGTATATGACATATAGGTACTAATAATGTAGAGTCTGACATGTAGGTACTGATCAAATAGAGGCTGACATGTAGGTACTGATCAAGTAGAGTCAATAACATATAGATACTGATCAAGTAGAGTCAATGATATATAGGTACTTGGGTTTTGATCAAGTAGAGTCAGTGACATGTAGGTACTGATCAAGTAGAGTCAATAACATATAGATACTGATCAAGTAGAGTCAATGATATATAGGTACTTGGGTACTGATCAAGTAGAGTCAGTGACATGTAGGTACTGATCAAGTAGAGTAAATGATATATATGTTCTACATCGAGTACAGTCTATGATATATGCTCAAGTATAGTTGATAGTTTATATAGATAATGCTCAAGTTGAGTCAGTAATATGAATGTACTACTTTAGTAAAATGAGCAATTTGTATTAAGTATTAGAATTTAAGAAATGATAATTATTATATATAAAATTGATAGATAATGATGGTATATATAAATAAGAAGGTGTGATATAAGTGCCAATGAGACAACTCTCCATCCAAGTCACAATTTATAAAAAAGTTAACAATTATAGGTCAAAGTACGGCCTTCAATACATAGCCTTGGCTCACACCGGACAGCAAGCTATAAAGGGCCCCAAAATGACTAGTGTAAAACAATTCAAACAGGAAAACCAATGGTCTAATCTATATAAAAAAAGAGAAATGAGGAACACCTATGAACCACACCAACAAACAACAACCACTGAACAACAGGCTCCTAACTTAGGACAGGTGCATTAAAATGTAGCGGTTTTAAACGTTTTAACAGGCGTCAACCTTCACCCTAACCTAAGACATTAGTGTAACATTACAACATAAAAAGACACACTATAAAATATCAATTGAAATGGCTTCACTCGATCAAAAAGACATTTAAACAAAAACAAGTAAACATACACTGAAGGAATAAGTTTGATCTATGACACAATATAAATACAATATTAAAACTGTACTGCTCAAGATGATCATGCATCTAAATGTCTTTTTAATGTAAAACTTAACCCTGAGATGTTATGACAGTTCAATTCATCGATTTAAAGAAAATCATGACTGGTTTTTTAGAAAATTTATCTAATCAGTGTAAAACTTATGAGATTTACGAAGATCCCAATTTATGATGCATGAAAAATTCCAATGCTTAATTACCTTGAAGTCTTTTGAGATTTAGATAAAAGAAAAAAATTAATTGAATAATAATGCTGTAGTCTAACTACCTGAAGTTGGTGTTGAGGGAATTCGAAACCATAACAAAGAGTAGATAAAACAATATACTATAAAAATCAGAACAGCACTTTTTACTACGCATAAATAGATAAAGATTGAAAAATAAGAAACATGCAAAACAATAATGAAGAATACAGTATAAAAGAGAGCTATTAGTACCAGTACAAATAGTAGATGTCTATTATAGAATCGGATCTTTTACTATCATTGTTTTATTGGAAAACTGATTAAATCACTAATTAAAAGAACTGTTTAAATAATATCCCTAAATTTGATTCTATTACATCAAAAATTAACACTAGTTTAAATGTAAACATATTAATTGAAGGTTTATCGAGGTACAGCAATGTCAAGAACTTTATAGAAGTAATCTACTAGCTCGTTATTGGATAAATTGATCTTCCACGATCGTCTGAATGAAAACAATCCAATGATTTTGTATGTTTATTCGTTAAAACATGGAAAATTTAAAAGAAGGGACATATTCAATTTGTTTTGTGCCTGAATAGAAGTTCACCATGACAAATGTGAGATGAATGGATAGAACAAAACGAATTACGTGAAAAGAAATGGAATTCATTACTATGCACTGATTGATATATGGCTTTTTGTTTTAAATTTTGCACTTTTCTTCAAGTGATCAAGAGGAAATTGATCACAGAATCAGATTTCTTTAATCAGGAATTAACTTTCCAAGAAATATTATCTTAAGCTCAAAATGCAATTCTCAATCAAATACTAAAAGTTTTGTCGTTGATAAATTCATAATTAAATGTTTGGTTCATTTTTCTGATTGAATGATAAATTTGCAATCTGATTTTGAGTTACACTCGTTGCCGTTCATCTAAGGGTTCTTATAACTGCTGTAACATTTGGAAACAGAACTGTTGCTTAGGAATATCTTTTTTGTTGATCAAATTATTAATCAAGAAAGTTTTAAAATAGACAAAGTTAAAAAAAAAATTGAATGGAATCTTCTTTTACCCATCGGTAAACTAAAGAAAAATAAGTATTTCTTCTATGAATTATTATATGACAAATAAAGATTATAAAAAAGCAATCATGTGAAATTAGGAAGTTGAATTGAGCCAGTACTAGTTCGTTAGATGGCCCTTGAAATTGACATTTGTATGATGAAGTGACTTATCAATATTCAGTGGGTAATATTTGGTGAAGACTGGAGAAAACTTATCGTGTGATTGGAAATAAAACATGACAGTCCAGGAAATATTGTCTGGAAACACGACCCTGAATAATAAATGGATTTTAATGTAGAAAATTATCTGGCTTCAAAGGAATGGAAAATTTGAAACTAAAACAAATGATCATGTCTATTGGAAAGTTGATAAAAAGCAATTAATTTTATTTATATATAATATGATAAGACATTCTTGTTTCAGTATTTCATTTCATGGATAAATAGCAAAGATTCTTGCCTTTCTAAATAGAATTTTTGTTTTGGTTGCAATTAAAAGTTAGAATTAGATAAATAAGAATTAGATAAAAAGAATAATTTTTAGTAAATGATTTCATGCACATGTGAAAGTTCATTGTTCGTACATAATCCAGAGAAATTTTCTAAAACAAAAGGAAAACTACACTAAGAACATTAGTTGGACTCGAGGGATTACTGAACTGTTTGGTAGTATAACATGTGATGTACCAAGTAACAGTATAACATCAAATCTATAGAGAAATAATTTTAATCAACTATTCTCAACTGTAATTAACAGACAACTGACACTCCTTGTTTGAAATTTTTCATTCAAATTACATGGAAAATTATCATTTTTATAAGGTACAATTTGAATTTGTAGATTTTTATAGTTGAATGTCATATTCATGCATTGGTTATTAGACAAATCTTCAAAAGTCAACTTGCGTCTTTTTAAAGTGTTTGACAAACTGTCTCGTCATCTTATTTCTGGAGATGATTGTTTATGGAAATCGGCTCTTTTTGAATAACATTGTTGTAATATGGAATCTTACTTGGTGATTAAGCATAAAAGGAATGTATTCCGATGAGGACCATAATAGTAAAACACAAATATATTTGCTCAACTGAAAAGTTATAATAATGCTTCGAGACTACAATTTACGGAAGCAACATAACATTAACGAACTTTGTCATTACAATTGGATAAAAAGAAGCTTTGATCCCAATATGGTATGTTCACATAGAAAGCGAACTAGAAAATTTAACTTTAATATATATGGAACGTTATACAGACGATTGAACAGATTTGAAAAGACTTGGACATTTCATCACAATCCTTTGCCAGGTAGGATGGAAAATATTGTCAGAAATTATCTTTTTGAATTTAATGATGAGTACGGAATAGTACAGAAATTAATTTTCTATACAAAATCATTTGAACATATCATTTGTTTTAACGACTACAGAAATAGTAATAAATAATTTACAGGTGAACTCCCAGTATGAACTTGGAATTACTATATTGACATCAAAGAAATAATAAAACTATAAAAACATGTTCAAACATATAAAATCATAGTAGGTATATTCTTTTAAAAAAATAATAAAACTTGTTAATCCTGTAGGCTTTATTTTGCATAATTTGCATAATACAAAACTTATTAGAAATGTATTAAATAATTCTGTTAAGAAAAGTTTGTTTTTGTCAGTTTTCATGAGAGAAAAATGTTAACAATGACAAAAGACTACAAAATCAGGAATTAAGGACTTAAATTACTCAAATGTTTTATAGTTATGGCGAATTTATTCTTAGGATAACTTCTCTGATGTATGCTAAATTTTCATGCATTAAAATTATGGTGAATTTGTTCTTGAGATAACTCCTCTGATGTGTTCCAAATCTTCCTGCATTTTCGCTTTCAACCAGTTTGTGTGTTGAAATAAAATAGGATTTTGTTAAACAATTAAAACATTTGAATTAAATGATATTTATAGACCTTCCAGAAATAGGTCTATTTCACCCTCAATTAGGCCATAAAAAAGAATATGTTTGTTTGCCCTAACCCTATCTACCCAGAAAATAGCAGCCTGATCAAAATCTTTTATTGTCCTGATGTGAAAAGTATTTTTTTCAATCAGATTGGCATGAAGACTAAAAAACATCTGACACTTCAATTTCTCTTTGTCGAAAAAAAGAGAAAATGCCTATCTACATACCCACTGATTTTTGCTCCCTGCCCCCCCCCCCCCCCCCCCCTTGGGTATTTCAACAAGTGTTTTTTTTTTTTTAAAGTTTATTTGTTTTTTAATACTACATGTTAAGTTTTCTTTAAAGTTTCCAAAGTGAAATAAAATTGAGAATGGAAACAGGGAATACATCAAAGAGACAACAACCCGACCAAAGAGCAGAAAAAAGCCCAAGGCCACCAGTTGGTCTTCAGTGCAGCGAGAGAATCCTGCACCCAGAGGCAGGTTTCAGCTGGCCCCTAAACAATGAGAATATTTTTTTAAAACTACATGTTAACTTTATGTTAAAGTTTCCAAAGTGTTACTTCTAATCTTCAATCCAAATTAAATATAATAATTCATTGTAGGCTATAGATAGTACCAATGCCAGGTTATTCCCAAAAGTGAACTCTTGCATAATAATCTTCAACATGTCACAGAAAAACCTTTCATCCATTACTTTTTCTTTAGTGTTGCTCTGTAATTGACAACTAAAAAATTGCAAATAAAGTTTTTTTGACATTGAACGCAACATTGAAACCTGAAGGGAGAAAACTTGTTCTACTCTGTTAATTTTTTCATTTGACTTTTAAAAATTTTGTCACTTGAGATAAAATTCTTGAACTTTAATGTGTACTAGAGTAATATTAATGTGTTTTACTGTAATCCCAAAACGTATGTGAAATTGACATATAAATAGAAAATTTTCCTAAGAATGAAAGCCTCCGAACAGGCATAATTTTTGAGCCAGTGACAATTTTTCACTCCGCAAAATTCTTCATCCTTAGGACTCATGACACAGACTTTAATTTGCTTTAAAAGACATTAAGTTTTATGACCCATTTTTATCAGCTTTAAGAAAGATGGAATTATTTTTCCCCTTGACATAAATCTTGACATTATGTCATTGTCATGGGAACATCACTTGTTCTTGGAAAAAATAGTATATTATGCAACATTCAGACTTTTTTAAGGATTTATTCTTACACATTAGACTATGCATTTATGTTTTTCTCCATTAAACTGTGTTAGTTGATTAAAACATCTCATGTTACATACATTTATTTTAGTTTATTGCTTTGACAATAAAGGGTGTTCCAATATTGAGACTAACATCCAGAATTCTGGCCTGGTTTTTGAGTGGGTGGCAGTAAAATATCACGATCAAAATTCTATTGCCATACAGCTTTACTATTGTCTGTTTGACGACCAAATTATGAAAATAAAATTTTATATATAAGAATTTGTTTTTAAATGCTAACTTTTGAAATAGGAAATTTTTTAATGAATTGGCCATCGGTTGATTTTAGTATAAATATAACTTTAGTTTTAGCAGATATTCACTTGAACAATTCTGATTTCAACAACAATTTGTTTTAAAAGATAGTTCATGTAATTTTGCATATAATATAGCTTCTATTTAAGGACAAAGAAGTGGTTGTGAGATATTGTCTCTGCTTTAACATGATCCCAGAAAAAAACCAAAGTACAGTTAGCCTTGCCTTAATATAATAATTATCACAACCAGAACACTTATATAATACACATGGTTTGTGATGTGACATGATAACAGACAACACTACACCCTCTGCTAAGACCTGTTTACAGACAACAGTTCATCAGATGGCCTTTACTGTGACATAATAAGATATAACAATACAACTGGTGGCATTTACCTTGACATAATCGCAGATATAACAATACAACTGGTGGCATTTACCTTGACATAATCGCAGATATAACAATACAACTGGTGGTTTTTTCCTTGACAAAATAAGAAATAAAATTTCATCAGATGGCTTTTACTGTAACATAATAAGAGATACCGCTACAACTTTCAGCCTTTTCTGTGACATAATAAAAGACAATATGATCACAGGTGGCTTTTATGGTGTCATGATAACAGACAACACTATAACAGGTGGCCTTTATGGCAAAATGATAACAGACAACACTACAAAAAAGTGGCCTTCAACTTAACATGATAACAGACAACAACACTACAACAGGTGGCCTTCACCCTTGACATGATAACAAACAACACTACAACAAGTGGCCTTCACCCTTGACATGATAACAGACAACAACACTACAACAAGTGGCCTTCACCCTTGAAATGATAACAGACAACAACACTACAACAAGTGGCCTTCACCCTTGACATGATAACAGACAACACTTCAACAAGTGGCCTTCACCCTTGACATGATAACAGACAACACTTCAACAAGTGGCCTTCACCCTTGACATGATAACAGACAACAACACTACAACAAGTGGCCTTCACCCTTGACATGATAACAAACAACACTTCAACAAGTGGCCTTCACCCTTGACATGATAACAGACAACACTACAACAAGTGCCTTCACTGTGACATGATAACAGACAACATTATACAGCAGGTAGCTATTGTTTTGACATAGAGAAAACATTCCAAAAAGGTGGCCTCTGGAGAATGATCACAGTTAACATTGTAGCAAACATCCCCTTCTTCATCTATAAATGATACCAGGGCTGTTAATGATGCAAACATGAAGTTAATCTGCTACTTCAATGCTTGGAACAGAACAAAAAGGATTGTATTTAAAGCATGATTACCAGTCTTGCTTCTTCTTTTTATTAGCATTAAAACAATATTCATAAAAGTGTTAATTAATTTTCTTGCAATTTGAATTTTATGTAGAACTATTTAAGGGATATATTATCTTGAAATAAGTAATGTTTATGTGAAATATAATGAATCTTAGATTTATCCAGTTCCAAAGTGCTGAACTAAGGCGGCAGTAGTTTACCTGATGTTTTTACAAGTAGCTTTTTAGAGAAATGAAATAGATATGGCAACTTCCTCCCAAGAAAACGGTTAACTAATGTGGGATTTTGTTTATAAAGAATTGTATTTATATTATAGCATGTACTAGGGTATTATCAACAGAAGAGAATGAAAGCAATTTAACATCATAAATCTTCCATTTATTGTAGAATTATGAAATGCAAAATTATTTATGATATGCATTATCTTATAAAAGTAGTAATGACACTTTACAGGAGATGAGTATATCATGTTGTATTGATCCACCGTCTTTTTAAGGAAAGCAGAGTACGGTATTTATAAAGAATAGGAAGATGAACAATTAAGAGTTTGTAAGTAAACATCCTAAAACAAGGAAATTGGCAACATCAGACAAAGAAATATAAATAGAACCTCAGCTAATTTGGCAGGTTTTTCCTTATGACCATCAGTGAAAACTTTTTTGGTCATGGTGTTGTCTGTCTTTCTATTGGCCATGATGTTGTCTTCTTTCTATTGGTCATGGTTTTGTCTGTCTTTCTATTGGTCATGGTTCTGTCTGTCTTTCTATTGGTCATGGTGCTGTCTGTCTTTCTATTGGTCATGGTGTTGTCTTTTTTCTATTGTCATGGTTCTGTCTGTCTTTCTATTGGTCATGGTGTTGTCTTCTTTCTATTGGTCATGTGTTGTCTTTCTTTATATTGGTCATAGTGCTGTCTGTATGTCTATTGGTCATGGTGTTGTCTTCTTTCTGTTAGTAATGATGTTGTCTGTCTTTATATTGGTCATGGTGTTGTCTGTCTTTATATTGGTCATGGTGTTGTCTTCTGTCTATTGGTCATGGTGTTGTCTTCTTTCTATTGGTCATGGTGTTGTCTGTCTTCATATTGGTCATAGTGTTGTCTGTCTTTATATTGGTGATGGTTGTCTTCTTTATATTGGTCATGGTGTTAACTGTCTTTCATTGGTTTTTGGATGTTCCCTTGGTATTTTTGACTTTTTAAACTATAGATGAATTAAAGATATGTGGAGACATTTTTTTCCTTTTTATTGGAGAATTTGATATTGTATTGCAGATCAATGAAAGTTTCTGTTCAGTATGTATTCACATTTTGTTTTAGAAATAGGACAATCTAGAGAGCTTAATATATTTGATAGAAGCCTATCAACTGTTTAAGACTGTTTGTTGCCTGTAGATGTTTTTGGTTATTTCCGTCATTGGGATGTTATTTATTGATATATAACCTACATTTTTTTTTATTTGTATATAGTAATTAGTCAATCTGATTTTGTTTGTAAAGTCTGTAGGACCTGAAATGCATCAGTAA